GAACCACCTTTGGTGGGAAGGGAACAGAGTTCTGTGCGCCTTTGGCGTTTAGTCATGCTGGCCACATGACCATGGAGACGTCTTCAGACAGTGCTGGCTCTTTGGCTTTGAAACAAAGATGGGCACTGCCCCTTAGAATCGGGAACAACTAGCACATGTGTGCGAGGGGAACCTTTACCTTTAAATAAAAAGGATTTTAAGCTTTATTATTAGCTCATGCAAAGAGATTTAAAAGCATACTATAAAAAAGCATACATTCCCTAGCAAGATGACACCCAAATTGCTCACAAGCTGCCAGGAGCTCTTTAATAACTACAGCAAAGATGTCCAAGGATGGACAGCATGCACAGCATCTAGTGCTAGGTTCTGAATGACACATGACTTTAGGATGGGAATGGAAAGTCTGAGACTTTTACAGTAAGGAAAACTTGCAGCTATGTAAAAATCCCCCCTGCTTCCCCTTTATTTCAAAACAAGAGTAAAAAGCAGGTTAGCTCATGCTAATGAGTTTTAAACTTCTAGACTTTTCTTAAAGTCAAATAATACAAATAAACTAAATCTTAATCATAATCTTAATATGGAGAAATCAAAATAATGTCACCAAATTTCATTGGAATAGCAATGGTCTTCCAAACAGCCACTACACATGGGTCTCTCTTGCCACTCTGTGTGTTCAAGAGCTGGGCTGTTGAACTCTCTCTGAGTTCTGCAATGTGGAAAAAAGCATCGTACCCTTTTGCATCCAGATGAGTTATCGTCTCCGTCTTCAGCCAGTGGCGGAACGGGTGGCACAGGTTAAGTTCAAAAGGATGGTTACAGGGCCAAACCCACCACTTTGCTCAATTGCACAGCACTTAGAGAAACCACTTGGATGCGGTGCCTTAATGAAGGTCATTATTTACAATCTTTAAATGGGACGGCTACAGAGTCAGTGATGCTTATTAAAAAAAATTGAAAAGTGGTCATCTCAGACAGTAGAGCAGAGATAAAAGGTATAAAGGTTCCCCTCTCACATATCTGCTAGTTGTTCCCGACTCTAGGGGGCAATGCTGATCTCCGTTTCAAAGCCAAAGAGCCAGCGCTGTCCAAACACGTCTCCATGGTCATGTGGCCAGCATAACTGAATACCAAAGGCACACAGAACGCTGTTACCTTCCCACCAAAGGTGGTTCCTATTTTTTCGTGTTTTCGAACTGCTAGGTTGGCAGAAGCTGGGACAGAAGTAACGGGAGTTCACCCCGTTATGCGGTGCTAGGAATTCGAACTGTCGAACTGCCGACCTTTCTGATCGACAAGCTCAGTGACTTTGGTATTCAGTTANATAGGAACTTTAAGGATCGTTTTGCCTTGGACTCTGATTTAATTCTACATGATACTTGGAACGCTGACACCTGGATTGTTATGATTTAGGTCCCCAATCTACATCGTCAAAAACATAGCCACAATCTTTTCACTGTACCAACCTTACGTCCAGGAGCTCCAGCTTGGCCAACAGGACCACGGAAACCAATTCCTGGTTCGCCCTTGAGAGCAGATTTAAAAAATAGAAAAAGAGGAGATATCAACTCATTGACAATTGGCACCCCCCCCAAATTCTGGTGGAAGGCTAAGACAAATGATATCATTCTTGACTCAGAATGGATGTATTTATATTTTTTATAATGTTATTATTAGCAATGTATTATTATTATTGATATTAATAAAAATGGATTTGTCAAAAACAGATCATGCCAGACAAATCTTATTGCATTCTTTGACAGAATGACTAAATGAGTGGGTCATGGAAATGCTGTAGGCATAGTCTATTTAGACTTCAGAAAGGCATTTGATAAAGTCGACCACAACCGACTTCTTGGTAAGCTAGAAAAATGTGGGTTAGACAGCATCATCACCGGATGGAACGGCATCTACATGGGGAGAAAGTATGCTGTGGGGTACCTCAAGTCTCTGTCTTAGGCCCAATACTCCTCAACATCTTCATAGATGATGAGAAACCGGAAGCATCGCAGCGAGATTGGTTGGAAAAATCGCGAGTCTGATGAGCACCAAGAAAATCCAGCCGAAAAAAATGCTGCCGGGAAGTCTTTGGACCAGAACCATCCTGTAGGGACGGGGAAGAAGGAGGGGCATCTCGGATGACCAAGAGGAACTGGCAAGTTCCTCGTTAGGTCAGAGACAGCTCTTCGGATTGATGGCAGGGTCGGCGGCTATTTTTAAGTGACGGCTCTGAAGCTGGGGCAACCGGACTAAGTTTTTGAGCAGGAGCAGTGTTTGAACGGAGTGTTGGAACCGGGTGAGTGATGGATTTGATGTAGTGTGAAATTAAGGGCAATTATTGATATTGTTTATGTATTAAGAAAAAAATAAGTTTAAGATAAAAAGTATGGAAAGAGAATAATATGACTGAAATTGGTAACAGATATATGATGTAAAATGGATCATGTACAGTATATGATGTACAAGAAAATATCCAGACCACACTTAGTTCATAAAATATGTAAAACATTTGCAATAAAAAAGAAAACCTTAAAAAAATCATCTTCATAGATGATCTCCAACCCTATCATTCAATGTTCTATATCAGGGATCCTCAACCCCTGGGCTGTGGCCCACTATCAGGCCAAGGCCTGTTTGAAATGGGCTGTGGGAGAAATGGGCTAGCATGCACGCATGAAACTTTATTTGCATGAGCAGGGGACTTTGGGCCAATAATCAGGAGATGGTGAGTTATAGTCCCACCTTAGGCATGAAAGCCGAGTGGGTGACTTTGGGCCAATCACCAGGAGATGGTGAGTTCTAGTNTTGGTTGGTTGGTTGGTTGGTTGGTTGGTTGGTCATCACCCAATACCCCAAATAAGGTCTTCTAGTTAAACCTTCTGCTCAGGCAAGAAACCCTGCACTGTTTCAGACAAATGGCTGTCCAATCTCTTCTTCAAGACCTCCAGAACCCACAACTTCTAAAAGCCACCTTCATGGGTTGATTGTTCTGACCGTCAGGAGATTTCTCCTTAGTTCTAAGTTGCTTCTCTCCTTAATCAGTTTCCATCCGTCACTTTTTGTCTTGCCCTCAGGCGCTTTGGAGAATAGGTTGACCCCCTCTTTCCTGTGGCAGCTCCTCAAGAGGGGCTGCCACAGGAAAGAAGGGGTCAACCTATTCTCCAGAGCACCTGAGGGCGCCAAAACTGCTATCATGACACCCCTAGTCCTTCTCTTCATTAGACTAGACCAGACACACCCAATTCCTGCAACCGTTCTTCAGATGTTTTAGCCCCCAGTCTCCTGATCCTCTTTGTTGCTCTTCTCTGCACTCTTTCTAGAGTCTCTGCATCTTTTTTTTGTATTGTGGTGACCAAAACTGGACACAGTATTCTAAATGTGGTCTTGGAATTGAGCCAAATAAGCAGGGATTAACACCTGACAAACAAACTAGCAGAGGACAATACCCCTAATGAAGGAATTATCAAGGAGAGAACCACACCTCCACCAACATTGGTAGAGCAAGCTATTGTTTATAAACAGGGAGTAAACTCCACACATGGTCTACAAGCCGAAAACCCAGCTTAGAGACCACCAAAGATCCCACGGTTCTCCTTCTCTTCTTCTCCTTCCTTCTTCCTCCTTCTCCTCCTCCTCCTTTCCTTAAACCACATTCCCTTCTAGCACTGACGATATCTAGTTGGGTCATGAAATGCCTACAAGCCAACAATCAAGCTCAGAGACCACCAAAACTCCCACAGTTCTCCTCCTCCTCCTCCTTCCTATGCATTCCTTCTCCTTCCTTCTCCCTCCTTCTCTGCCTCCTCCTCCATTCTTTAGCCTGCATTCCTTTCTAGCACTGATGATGTTATCTAGCTGGGTCATGAAAACGTCTACAAGTCAACAACCAAGCTCAGAGAGCACCGAGGACTCCACAACACATTGTTTTCTCTCTCCCTTATTGAAAATTAGTTGCTTGCTGGCTCTGAACATCTGTAGGAAGTTTAGAGGAACATCAACAGAGGCAGAACAACCCAAAAAAAATCCAAAGGTTAGTTATTATCATGCAATCAAAGCTCCTCCCCTTTTCACAACACGTTGCAACTGCTATCTGGTGTCAGGCCTGCAATTATGTTCCTTTTAGAATTTGGGCCTGCCACACTTTCTCTTATTTCATTATGCTGTTTC